GAACAAGAAAGAAAAGGGGATAGACAACCTTTTTTGTCCTATATATTTTTTTTTCCCCCCTCAAGGTTTTGGACTATTGTCATGTCCTGTCTCTCTCCCCTCCTCACCCCCGAGAGGGAGAACATTGGTTTTATAGTTAAATTGGTTCGTAAAGCAGAAGGGCTTGGTGCCATTTCTGTTTGTTTTCCCAAATAAAAGCCCCAGCAGGGTCTCTTTTGCACCGTTGTGGCTTTATTTGAAGAAACTGGCTTTTTCCCATAGCCCAGTGTGTCAGTTTATCCTCTGAACTTAACCTTACGGGAACCCGAACAACAAAAACTCACAGGGTCCCAGAGCTGGAAAGGTAAAGAAATTGTATCTTTTTATTGGACCATTTAAAACGTGTGTGGGCCAATTCAGAGAAAGCAGAAGAAAAGAAGGCAAAACTCCCTCTTCTGTCTGTCCCCTCAACACAATCTCAGACCGTCGTTGGTGTCTTTCCCCCCTACTGCCTCAGGTCCCTTCAGCTGCACTGAGGAATCAGAGAGAGGCATTTGCCCTGAAAATCATTTGAAACAGCATCTCTGAGCCATTTCACTTGGAGGTGCTCCCTCAAAACTCCCCAGGCCAATCCCACACTTCCTTGCAGGAATTGGTAGCCTGGTCTAAATGCAGGGGCAACTTTGGGGTAGGATAGAAGAATTACTTTGCCAAGGGTCTGTGTTTCTCCCTATGGACAATACAGATGTTGTTTGGTCAAGCTTTTCCTTTCTTAGCGTAAGTTGGTGCATCCCCTCAGTGCCTCAGCTGGCATTACAAAGCACCTGGAAGAGGCAGCAGCTCAGCTCTTCCCTTTGGTTTTGATGCAGTCTCCAAACTGGGTGACAGAAATTGTTCAAATGCTGCAGTTGGGATAATTATGTTTAAATGGATTTGTTTTCCTTTCTCTGATACTCAGATCAAACATCCCAGTGTTTGAAAGTGAACAGGGCTCTTTATAACTTTTTTTTAAAACTATATGCTTCCCACCTGTCGTTTCAAATAGTTATTGGGGCTGGAATGATGGTTTAGAGCTCTGGTTTCTGAGTAGTCATCTGCTTCTGTGCAATAGGTTCTCCTCTTTGATGGATGATCACAGTTCACAGATGAGGATTCCAGAGCAAATGAATTGTCCTCAGTTTTGCACATCTCTGTTTTCAATAGATGTTCAAAATTCAGCAGTTTCCTAGAGTTTGCATATTTATATAATATCAGCGCTAGTGAATTGGGATCACCAGAAATTGAGGATAGGGAGAAAAATGTTTCATCCCAGCTTTTAGAGTGTAGTTCTTGCATACTAGAGACAGCTGGGCAAGAGCCCTAGCAAATGGGCAGCTTCCAGGGAGGTAGGTGCAGGCTTCTTTTGCACTCTTATCAGAAAGATCTCAGGGAGATCCTGAGCTTTTAGGGCCACACAAATAGTTGCAGTGGCTTGGGAGGATGTATAACTTAAACTTAGTGAAGCAGCATCCCATAGGTTATCTGGAAAGTAACAATCTGGGCTCTGCCCTTCCATGTTTGGTCTCACTTGGTCTTCACAGACACTTCCTGACTAACCTTCACAGCCTGTAACAAGGACAGGGCCTCTAAAGTACTGAGGATCAGCCTACCTGGGATTTGAAAGGTGTTTAGGTGAAAAAGGAACCACAAAGGAAAGAAGGCAGTTGTTTCCTGCTAACCACAAAGGAAAGAAGACAGTTGTTTCCTGCTGTGTTTGGCTGGTGCTGGTGAAAAACGTCCAAGATAGCTATGCCATCTTTTTCTGTCCCTCATGGAGAAGGTATCTTCTGTCCCTCTAAGTTGTTAGAAACCACTGGTGATGTGCTGGTGTAGCTGCTGCTATTCTGTTGTCTGTTAATGGGTTATCTTCATCCTTTATGGGTTATTAAGGATTAGCTGTGGGTTTTGCTCCCAAGGAAGGGGAAGCTGTTTAAGTATGAGATTTGAGGGAAGGGAGTATTTGAGACAGCCACTAGTGGACAATTTGTGAGCACTAACTTGTGATCTCAAGACTGGAAGAGTTTGGCGGCAGAATTCCTTTCCCAGCGTGGGGTCAGCATGGCTGTGTATGCTGCAGGCACATAGAGCTAGTCTGGCATGATGATAGCTATCCTGAGATACCTTAATCTGCTGAATAAAAGGGAAATACTAATTGCGTTCTGCATCTTTTTCACCTTAAGTGTGTCCATGCCAGAGCACATGAGTGTTTTGTTTGTGTGCCCAGTGTGGAGCACAGTAAATTTTCCCCTGGTGCCAGATGGTTAAATGCTTCACTGTAGCAACTACCACATTGACTCTGTAAATTGTCAAGGAGCCACTTCTGTTTCCAGGGGCTGCAGCTCCCACCTGAAAACTGCTTTGGCTGACCTGTTCTTGGGCCAGGAGAACCAAACTAATTAACAAGCCAGCAAAGCAAGGTTTACTTGGCTGCAGTAACTTGCAAGTCTCTATGCTCATTTTATGCCTACAGAGAAAAGCCAGTCTTTTTCTCTTCCGTTGTTTTTGTTGCCTGGGATGTGAAGGTAAGTGGAGGGAGGAAAACTGGTGTGACTCTGTTGAAGTGCTTGGGTAACACTGCAGTGAGGTGTGAAGGTATGGAGAAACACTGGGAGTGAAGCACCTGAGTGGTGCTCAGGGTCCAAACTGGTGGTGCTGCCTAGGGCTTGCTGGGATAGCTCACCTCTTGGGAGTAACTCCTTGCTCCTGCCTGAGCAACTGGCAGAAGACTGTCAGCTGGGCAGTCTGGCCCCTTATGTATCTCACAGGTAGTCCAAGGATTCTTGTCTGGGAGAGCAGCTGGCTCCTCCTCATACCTCTGTTGTATGTCTTACAACTCTGGGCCACACATACATCTTGTAGGATGAAGAAGGCTTTGCAGAAGCCTTAATAAGGCTGTGTGCGTGTCCATTTGTCCAGCTGGCTTTGCAGAATGGCATATTGAGGGGATCTGTGTACTTGGAAGAGCAGGGGAGTGCCAGAGCACTCATATCCATCCATGTCTCACTCCATGGTGGATCTGATGACCCATCTGTGCCAACCAAACCCCATTGCTCTTGCTCACGGTGTTCAAACCATGAATGCTTCAACCTCTCAACCCACAGACAGGTGCAGAATTGCTCCTGGGTTGTTTTACAAGTAACCTTCCAAGGGTTAATGTATTGTGAGAAGGTTGCAAAGGGCTGAAGCCTGGAATCCCCTCCATCCCTTGCCTGGAGAAACACAAAGTCCAATAAGCCAGCACCCCTGGATTCGTGTTGGGGGGGATTAATTCATGCACTTGATGTTAAAGCTTGTCCGAGAGGTTTGCATGGGGGGGCCATTGCTAGGGCTGGTTGGCCTCTCTAAATGGTTGCTAGGGCCCTGGCATCAAGGTCCAATGTAGCTGCCCACAGCCACGGTCACGGAGGGAATTACACAGCCACAAAGAAATTGTTATTCTACATAATCTGCTCTTTGGAGAGTGACTGTGGGGAAACAGGCTGGCCCCAGCATGCCGCCAGCTCTGTGATCATAGAAGCGTGCTGGCTGCAAAGATCGGCCAGGGCTCGCCTTCTGATCTGGGGACACCAGGGCTCGAGGCGCTAATCTGCTTTATCAGCGATTTCTCTCTCCTGACACAAAGGTGTTTACTTGTTTTAACATCTCCCAGGACTCTATTTCTCCTTTTGTGTGGTCTTTATCCCCCGACGAGGGCTTTAGCCCAGATTACAGACAGAATTAAGGCATTTGGCGATGTGCCTCAGAACTGTGTGATGCTGGATCAAGGAGCAGAATGTAACAAAATAATGGAGGGAGATGCTGAGAGTGACCCCACTGCGGGATCCGTGCTGTTGGCTTTCAGGACTGCTTCATTGTCCTGAGAACCAGGAGGCTGTTGGAAAGGGGTGGCCATGTACAGAGTTCGAAAAGCAGGTGCTTCAAGTTCTATTGTGTCCAGCATTTTTGATGTGGAGGGTGTGAGGAGAAGGAGAAGGAAAAAAAGGAGGGTTTGCAATAGGTGGCCATTTCAAGCAGCTGGGCAGATTCTCCACTCCATTCTCAAGAGTCTGTTATGTCTGAATATCACTGGCTGCTGCAGCAGGTGAAATGACACATGGGACAGGCTGTGCCATACACCTGATGCAGTTCTGTGTTACCCAGGGAAGGGGCTCAAGCTTCTTCTTGAAGGCTGGCAGGGCAGGACCTCACCAGGCACCACCCACCCGGTGTGCTGCTGGTTCTGCACATGAACAAGCAGCAGAGTGATACCACCACAAAGCACCCAGCATAGAGCTTCATGGAGATTTTGCTTCTGCTCTTTCACTGCAAGCAAGGAATTAAAAAGGAAGAAGGGGTCAAAAAAAGAAGAGAAAAATCTAGCCTTTGGAAGGTCATCTCCAGAGCATCATTGGGGTGGTTGCTTTTGACTTGTCACGTTCAGCCCCAGATACAGCGTTTGTAAATGTGTAACTGGAGGGGGTTGAGGAGAGCAGTCATGGCAGACTGGGTTGGGAGACTCTGATTTGCCTGTGGATCTGTGCTGTGTGCCAAAGATTTGGGGGGGGAAATACCCTAGTGGACATTATTTTGAAGGACAGAGCATGGGATGGGATTGAACAGGTAAATGGCTCTTGCATATTATTTGGAGTTTGACTAAACTGGGAGTTGTCTTCTATGGAAGTGGAGCCATATAATTCAGAATACTGGTCATTTCTCCCAAGGAAAAGGATCCCATTCTGCTGGAGGTGAGCTGTGCCCGTACCTTGGCTCTTCTTTCAGCTGGGACTCCTGCTGGTCACCCTTCATGACACTCTTCATGGTTAGTGGCCCAACCAGTAGCAGAAGCTGGGAGTGGGAGAGGAAAATTGTGTGGGCTTTTGTATTCTGTTATATCACAGAAATGAGATCTGGAAGACTTCTGTGACACTATCTCTGCTCTGGCCAGCTGCATTGGAAGGGCTTTTTACTCTGAATGACTCTTTCTCTAATATGTTTCATTGCAGTGGTCAGCTGTTGACCTGTTTAGGGACCGACTTCCACCGTGGAGCTGGAGTCCTGGATGTGTTCTATGAAACGCCTTCCCTTCTCCTTTCCTGTGGGTATGACACCTACATCCGCTACTGGGACATACGGACCAGCACCAGGTGAGCCTGCCCTGATGGCATCTGGGGCCCACACAAGGCTCCTGGACTGTCCTTGTGCAGTGTCTGGGAACTTAGCTCTCACTGAATTAGCTCCTTCAAGGCAAAGTGGATGGAGGAGTGGCGGCTCAGCCCTGCTCTGGTTTGTGTTGCCCTTGCAGGAAGTGTGTCCAGGAGTGGGAAGAGCCCCATGACAGTGCCCTGTACTGCATAAGGAGTGATAAGAACCATATGATTGCCAGTGGCTCTTCCTATTACGGTGTGGTGCGCCTCTGGGATAAGCGGCAGACTCGGTGCCTGCAGGTGAGCACTGGTGGGAGATGGGGCAGCAGCAGAGCTTCTCAGCTGTTCTCTGTGCCCAGTGCACATGCCTTGTGAGAAAAAGAAAGAGGGGCTGCTGGGCTGTCTTTGGGGCTAGTCCACCATGGCAAACCTAAGCTATATGCAGGGAAAACCTGCTTTGCTCAGACCTCTCAACCTTTGGATCTGTAACACCAGCCAGCATCTTTGGGCTGACCTCGTCTCTGAAAGATTGATTCTCCTTTTTTCTGCAGAGCTTTCACCTGTCTTCACCCACCAGCAGCCCAGTGTACTGCCTCCGTTTCAGTACCACCCACTTGTACGCTGCCCTGGCATCAGCCCTGCACGTCCTGGACTTCACCGCCTTGTGAAGGGCACCACAGCTGCTTCTGGTGACCCCAGCTCAGCAGAGCTGACACTTGGCTCAGGGAATTGCAGGGCAGGAGAGGTGAGAAAGGCCCACAAGGCTTCTGAAGGGACTTTTTTCCTTCCAGAAAGCTACAATGAAGAGTGCACAAAGGGCCAGACTTTCTCAACCTTACCTGCCTGTTAGTAAAAATAATAGGCCAATTGACCTTTACCCTTTTTCTTTTGTGCAAGTCAGGAATTGTTTTATTAACTGTGTTCCTTTTTTTTATTTTTTTTTTTCCTGTGGATACATCATTTGAGGGGCAAGTTGAGCCAGGATGCCCTATCAGTTGTGTGCTGGTCAGTTTGACATCAGCCAAGTTCTAAGCATGTGAAGCAAGACTAGGCTGTGTGTAGGGTGGACTGATTTGGTGGAAAGGAAAGATGCCTGGAGTGAGGCCCACCTTTCTCCTTAATTTGCTGTTCTGACAGCTGCTTGTGTTGTCCTTCACAGCCAAGAGCAACAATTGAGCTAAAAGGCAGAGCCAGCCCTGCTTTCAGTGTGCCTCCCCAAACTGGCTGTCAGGTCAGGCTATGCACTTGGCAGGGCTGAAATGGTCGTGTTTTGCTAAATAAAACTGAAAGGAAACAAAAGAGATTGTATGTTTTGTTTCAAGTTCTGAAGCGGCTGTGATGATACCTGTTGATTGCAGGGGCCTGGGTGGGTGGGAGAGGTTGGACCTATTTTCAGATGCTGTCTCCATGTCTAATAGATCTTTCTCCCTGGCTAGACCCTGTGACATTGCTGTATTGAAGGCAGTTCCCAGGAGCTTGGATCTCCTGTCATTTTTCAAACGACAATTCAAAAAGTAGGATCTGTGACTCATTTGGTGCCTGCATAGTGAAGCAGCAAACCAGACTAGTATGAACACCTGGATATGATTTACTGAGATCCTGCAGGCACATACAAGTGGGATCTGCTCCTTTTTGTGTCATCCTTCCAAACCTGATGTGAGTCTCTGAACAACCATAGCTTTCAGTGTGCTCTGTGCTGATTGCATGTGGATAATGGGCTGTGAGAAAATACAGTGATGCCTGGGGTCTGGCCCTCCTTGGAGAAGGAAGTGTGGGAACCCAATTGGTTGAGTTTGGGTATCCTGGATAGGTAAAGGAGAGGTTTTTATCACAAACTGAGAGCGCTAGGGTGAGCCACTCAGTATGGTGCTTTGTTAGAACTTAGTACGTTCATTTCCACTGTCAAGAGGCTGCTCTTCCCTTGTGATGCACTAGAATTGGAGGAATATGTTTGCTGAAGCCCCAGACTCTAAGGAATTGTCATGGTTTGAAAGCAGCCTCATCAGGGGAGCTATGCTAGGAGCCCATGAGCAGATCATTTGAAGGCAGGGTTTGCTTGGGTAGAAACTGTTCAAGTATGAACAAGGATGGAACAACATTCAGCAATCTAAGCAAGGGGATGGCTGTTGGAGAGGAGTTGGTAAAGCAGCACTATTGCGGTTGTCCCTGTGCAGTGAGGTTTGCAAGGGACCATGTTTGTGCCTTCACAGAAGGGTGGGCAGCTGCTGCTTCTTAGGCAGTCAGTGGCCCAGCCACTGTTTCTCCTCTGTGCCATGCAAATGGAGGTACTGCATGTTGCTCCCTGTGCTCTGCGCAGCCCTGTCACGTTGTGGATGGCTGGCACTAAGGAAGCAGCTGCATGTCTTCCTCTTTACCCTGTTTCATAGGCTGTGCCCACTCAGGTCTAAACATTGATGCTGTTTGCAGAGATACCAAAGTCACGAGAGCATCCTTCTGACTGCATGGAGGAGCTCCATAACTGCACAGGAGGGAGCTGCTTCCAAGCACATCCCAGGCAAGTAACGGGTGTGAGGAGGGAGTTTTTGTTTTCCAAACATTACTGCCTTCAGTAATGGTGGCAGATGGGGAATTCCCAAGGTGTCATGTTGGATGGGGGCAGGGCTGCTGGTTGTGGAGGTGGTGTGCTTCCTTTGCTACTACAGTTTCCCACAATTCAGAGAAAGATCGTTCTACCCCTGGAAATGTTCCAGGCCAGGTTGGATGGGGCTTTGAGCAGTTTGGTCTAGTGGAAGGTGTCCCTGCCCATGATAGGGAGGTTAGAACTACATGATCTTTAAGGTCCTTTCCAACACAAACTATTCTATGTTTTTATGAAATGTCTGCATAAATCAGCAGGCCAGGCAGCAGACAGGTCAACTGCCCTGTCTTCCTGAGCTTACAGAGATTCCTTCAAATGGCTCTATTAACAACACAAACTCATTTTTATTAGATAAGGCAAAATAAACACCATGAAGCTGTGCCAGAGAGCTGCCCCTCACCTCAACCTCTTAGCAGCCACTGCCTACTGTGTCTTACAGTCTCCATCCCCACTGTTAGCTGCCTTTATCTTCTTCAGCTCCTTCTGCAGCTGCTCTTCTGCAGCCAGGATCTCCTTTGGCTTCCGGTACTGTAGGACAGAGAGAAATGCCCTTAGCACTCTTGAACTCCAAGCAGACCAACTGGGGCCTGTTGCTGCTGGCCCAGCAAGGGCCCTCCTGCCAAGGGAGACCTTGCAATTACCAGCTGCCTTTGAAGCCCATTTGGAGAGGTGGTGCCATCAAGCTAAAGACATTTGCCAAGTTCTGGTGTGTCTTTTACAGTGTAAGTAAAACTTTCCAGTTAGGTGTGGAATCCTGGCCCCTACCAGCCCTTCTGGAATATCCTGGCAAGCAGATTCTTGCTGTGCTCACTGACCGTATGCTCACAAGTGTTTTATATATATATATATATATATATATATATATATATATATATATATATATATATATA